CGTATAATAGAAAACCACCTTCGTATAATAGAAAAGCACCTTCATATAATAAAAAAACACCTTATTATAATAAAAAAGACACATAAGACAGCTATGGCGTTCCATAGTAACTTCAAAAGAAATGTCATGTTCGTGATGCATGAGAGCCTATAAAAAGAATCTGCTGTTCATGAAGTACTATATTTCCTTGATTGAACACTATTTTCTAACCAATCACTATAAGGTTCTCAACGATGCCATTCTTATATTAAAACCTAAAGCAAAACTACTATTTGTTGTACTAAAATATGTTTGCCCAGTTTCACTGTTCCGATTTGGCAACAGCAAAAACAAAATCCTGATCTCTTCCTGAAACATTGTTCAATGCGGACTGATATATAAAGGCGGATGGCCATTTGTCTTGGCTCTAAATGCGTGGAATGATGTCCAGAAATACTTAATGTTTTCATTATCATCTGCTTCAAGCCGTCTGTGTTATCATTTTGTTAATTTGTGTATACTATGTAAGGATAGAGTTGCACAATTGACAATTTATACCAGGTTGGCATACATGTATTTCTGGTAAGACAATTGACAGATTGCATGTCTATAATACGGTTATTACTAGATGTTAGCATGAAACGCATGGTAATATTTGGTTAGTGTTAGGATATATCTTATTCTATATTAATATTATTAGTTACTAAGTCATATCTGTTGTGCTGGCGTGTAATATATTGGAGCAATCTATATAGTAGTATCAGAGAAGATAAGAGAAATGCATATGTTTCAAAGCATTAGGTTATGACGATTAAACAAAGTTAAACTAAATCAAAATGCAGAAGTATGGATATGTTCATTAGTGTGACGATTCTTTAGCCGTATTTGCATCAATGGAATAATACGACTGCATCTGAATATTTACCCAAACTATAATCAACTAATGTTTAGATGACTGTGGAAAAGAGTTTTGCCTATATCTTGTCTTTTTGAACTACCTGTATGTGCAGCTTATTCGTGTATCGTTGTCATATAAGCAAGTTGTTGCGGTTGCCTGTTTAATTGCAATACCAAAATAATCATTGAACAGAAGAAGTAAGCAACTTTGGTGCTTTTATCATCAAATCCACAATTTTTCATCGATCTGCCGGACTAAAATGCAAACAAATGAAAAAGTACGATTTTGGACAAAATTGTCTCTTAAATAGAATGTATTTGAAATTTTATCAAAATTTCAGCATTAAATGTTGAGTCCACGTACTTTTAAACTTTGAGGTTTTAGTTTAAACTAGTTATCATCTATTAGTAATTCAGCCTTGAATTTCCAACAAAAATGTTACAATTTGACACAAAAATGACACGAAATAATATGGAGCACAAGTGTCCGGCCCAAAAAATATAACTTCACCTTAATGATATTTATATTTTTTTTGGAGATTTAGTAATTGGTATTGCGATGGGTACTAATTGTTTCCTTGATTATAGAATCCAGTTGTAGGCAAATATAACAAACAAAAAGGCAATGTGGGAAATTCCGGTCACAGTTTACTAGGAATGACGAGATCTGACATGATTATAGCAGAATGCCGTGGTTGATTTAATCAGAGACATATAATACAATATTGTATTATATGTCTCTGATTTAATTGACACGTCTGAGCACCATCGCTGACAATAGAAGTTCCTCAAAGTTAATCCTAGAGAGAACGAGGGTCACGATCTTCAAATACGTCGACTCATGTTCGCATCACCCCATGGTTAAGTTGTTCGAGGGAGTGAAAATAAACAATTCCTAGATAAAAATAAAGTTAAGCTTAACTGGTACCAATTCAGAACCGGCCACTCCTGGTTGACATGAGATCGTCTCAACAGAACTTACCGCAGGAAAGTAAAAACCTAATATGATCCGACGTAGAATACATGAAAGGATCGTTACCCATTAATCTTGCCAGATCCCGTCATGTGAGTCGGTCTATACACACTCATGAGAAAGCATCAAATCGATACAAGTTTATTTCTCGAGCTCGTATATTTGGATGACGAACAAAACAGTGTCCATCCTTCATGACCTTATTGTTTATTGCAAAGTTAACGTGTTATCGAGCTCGCTCAATAGCTTTTTCATCTTTTTCTATCTTTTGCAGCATACCAATGTCTTTTCGTATAACAAATGTAGATACATTGTAAAAATTACTGCAAACGCAGAAGATCCATTTCAATGCTTTGAATTAAATCAATGGCTTTTACTTTATATCCAAATCGTTGGAACCCAGTTGAATGATTATCATGACCGGGGGAAAAACGATCAGTTGAATGTGAGGCTGTGGCATTTAGTTCGTTCCACAACATACCTTTTTTTTTCAAACCAGCGTATGTAGGCCTCTCTGAAATGGCATATCACAAAAGCCCACACATTTCGAAGGAGTGAACGAAATTGATATTTGTTTAAGACCAAGCCATTAAAATGTGTAAATAATTTATTTGACCCAACTGAGAAGCAAACATGCAGTAAGATTGTAATAGATGAATTGGACAAATGTCCGTGTCAGATTGCCTCTAAATGATCAGGGTAACAGAATTATGCTTTTGATCGGTTTTAGAACTGCATAGTTTGACATGCAGTTTGGTTTAATTATTTCTCTCACATCTTCGTAGTTCAAAGCAAAATATACAAGACAAAAGGCAGAAAAAAACAAGACAGTATCATAATGAGAATTGTATACCCTGCGTAAACTGTAAATTAAACGTTATAAGCTGTTAAACAATATAGGCGTTCGAACATCTAATTTTTGGGGATTTATCCTACGTAAACCTTCCATCATTTTGCAAATGATAAAAGGCTTTGTGTTGTCTGTCATATTATATGCGTTGACCAGCCCGGAAATGTAAGTAGAATTCGTAGACGCGGACAACCCCTTGTATGACATATATGCTATAAATTGGACGATTTTGTCGATAGGAACCGGCCAAATATCGAAATAATACCTGAATTTGGAACTTGATATTTTTAGGGATAACCGAAAGGTTGAGAACGAGGGTAATGTAAAGGGACCAGCTATTCTACCCAATTTAATCTCTTTCGAGATTTTCTTTGTGGCAATGGCGGCTCTGCCCAACAATTTATTTAGAACTTATTTGAAGAGGACGTCTCAAACATGAATATTTCAGTTTTTACGATCGGCAAGCTGTAGAAGGGTGATTACCATTACGTTATAACTTCCACAGTTCCAAATCGACAATTCACCAAGAAGAAGAGGGGAGGGCTCTCCGTAATCGATACTGCTCATCATATTGAACCCAACCTCCAGAGTAACCTCGCGAGGCTACCATTCTGACTGTTTGTATGTATTTGAAGAACTCAAGACCTTTGTTAGACCATTTTTTCAATATTACACTCCCGTAAATCATAAAGGCGGAGGTCAATATGTAAATACTTTAGATGGGAATACTATTGTAATCAACTATGGACAACACACCCCCTTTTCTTGCCAGTTCACCCTTTAAATTTGGATTGTTTACAAGGTCCAGAGTAGGTTTTAAAAGTATATTCAGGTCAATGAACTCATCATTCCATATTGTTTCCTTTATCTTGACCAGATAAAAAGAGGATCAGTAACATTTGGAATCTATAAAGGGGATTGTTCTACTTGTAAACGATTATCAAAATAATAGAACTAGAAAACGCTCCCGAACCTTGTAAATCAGATTGTTTGGATACAGTCAACATACCAAGATTGTGGTTGGAAGATATCTGTAAACTGCTACAACCATGTTGTATAATCACTGGATCAGAGATGCCCTTTGAACTTTGAGGGATGTTTCCCGCATTGAGTTGTGGTCTATTTTTTGGGGTCCCTTGTCGACTTCTCGATACCGTTCCGATAGCATGCCCGACGTTTGTTGTATTACTAGTACTTGGTTATGAATCGTACTGATTTGGGTTTTGATTAGGGGTCATGTGGGAGACCTCTTGTTGATTAGAGTCTGCCGTAATACTGATCAACTATCCATGCGCCACTGAAAAATTCAGGAATGTCACTGTCCCTGAAACTGGTTCATTTTGTACATTCCTTTTGGTAGGTTCCGGGATTGGATTGTTTTTGCTTTGGGGGTCACCCATTGCCAATGGTGGTGTGTATGGTCATTGTATCTTTGGCAACTGATCAAGTCGTCTTGATTTGCTGTTTTTTGTTTCTTAGAAGGTCCTAGCTAACGATGTCATTTAGAGGATCATATTATAAAGACGAACGGATGGCGTAGATTTTTTGAGGATTTTTTGAAACTTTGAACTAATCTACGAGGGTGGCCAGATCAATGCAAGGGTAAAGTGTCACGTGATATTAGCGGGAAAACCGAAACGGATCCGAATGATGCAAGTTACAGTTACGGAAAATACAAATATATCAAATCTCTACCTTTAAACCGTATTATTGTCGCAGATTAATTCCTTTACTGATATGAATCGAAGTTTATTGCTTTTCAACGACACATGACTTGATAGAAATGTTTAACAAACCCTGTAAATATTCAGAGGATATGAATTATATGCAAAAATTTCATTTTTTAATCAAATTTATACACCTTAAAATATGTTTGGTTTTTTTTGGAATACAATTTCCTCAGATACGCAGTTTCATTGTAAAAATAAAATTTGCGTGAACTTTTAAATTTTAGAATTATACAAGCGTGGTTCGGATTCCTTTTATATCATACTGATGAAGTATATTTGTTATCGGAAATATTTATTGATATTTATATTTATTGTTTCTTTTTTTTTTAATATTGGTGTTGATTTGTACACTTTTTAGACGTAATATTTATTTATATTTATAATATATGCAGAAAATGATATTTTGTACGGCATATAAGTCAGATAATGCATGTTTTTATATTTATCTTGTCGTGTAACACACATTGGGGTGTAAGAACTGCCCAAAATAAAGACCTCCCTACGATCGGTCTTTCATTTGATTAATTCTGACACTCTTCGGTATGTTATACTATAATATAATTCATGTACATTTCTTAAAATACAAAAGTTTTATGCATTATGCATTCATCTATTCAATTTAGAATACACCTTTTTAATAACTCCAACTAATTTGACTTATTGTTTTCTTTTCAAAAAATTTGGTCTATGGCTCCACTATCTGATATGTATAACGTTTATGTTTAATTTTCTTAACCCAGACTATTATTTTTTTCTTCTTTGGCTGAGTGACAGAATCATGACGAATTCGTTTGTCCGACCTAAAACGTTTAAATACTGGACCGAATTTGCCCTCAGCGAGACCATTTTCCCTGGCAACTTTTCCTGCTAACGTCGGATTCCCTTGGTAGGTTCCTGGAGGTTGTTCCCGTGATACACAATATCCAATGTTCCCATCACAATACATATCTGTACTTAATCCACAATATGGACATCGTGGTATTGGATCGTACTGAACAAGACGTGCAATACTATTTAAATATCCATCTCTGTTGGTGTATCCTTCTATTCCAAATGCTTCTTCATCTGGACTGTGTCCTGTCCTGTTTGTCGGAACGAAATCAAAAGCTGGATTAATGCCACGTGACATCTGAAGCCTTCGAAAAACTTCCCAAATATAATCAACAAAACAGTGATGAAGCCAGAATATCGGATCATGAGGGGCCAGAGCGAGGCTGTCCATGGTACCATCGACCCATATATGTATGCCATTATGTTGCTCTTCTAAACCGTCATCTGGGGCAGATGTAGGGTCTGATATTTCTCTCAACCTTGTTTTTGACCAAATTCTTGGGATAAGCCTTTTATCATACAACATTCCGTCAGAACCAATATTTCGGATGAGAGCGCCACCTGGAGTTTGAAATCCTGCAAACGGGCCTGTTTCAATTACACCAAATCCATTTCCAAAATATTTTGATGTCCATAAAATAGATTTAGTCGGGTCCTCCATTTCTTGGTCAATTGACGAGTCCCAATATGGAATCGGTACACCTAATGCAGTTTCGTATCTAAACAAAGATAAAACAAAGGTATATATTGGTTGGTAAAAGAAGGTCTTATCAATATATAAACTGGACACATCTGCGGGTACTCTTACATCGGTATTTTGTGTCTTTTGTCTGTATGTTAGTTCATGTGCTTCGTGTCGATCTGATGAGTAAGCCATATTGAACTATTTTTTACAGTTGGTTCTTATGTTTAAAGGAATGGTTGAACGCTCACAAACTGTTGAACCCCGCAACTTTCTATATGTGAATATCCTTAGTCATGGTCCTGTAATGCAGTGGTTGTTGTTGTTTGTTGTCTGTCATGTTTGTTTTTCGTTTATTGTTTTACCATAAATCAGGCCGTTGCTTGTTTTGTTTGTTCACATTTTGTTATGGCTAACTATATGGTATGGGTTTTTAATTGTGAAAGGTTGTACGGTGACTTATAATTGCTTAAAATTGTTTAATTTTGGACCCTGTTGGAGAATTGTCTCATCGGCAACCATACCACATCTCCTTATTTAATAATGGCAAGAAATCACGATGAGTAATGCAAATTATTACCCTGTCGATACACCATCTCTTAAACTGTTACTAAGAGGTGTTTCGTGTGATTTACTTATAGTATAAAAGCTTTTGTCAAGGCTGATATAGTTTTACAAACAATTACTAGTTCAGAGGTTAGATATAATTGAACAGCGTTTCCCCTGTTGCAACACTTTTTTTAAAAGGATCTAGTATTAAGAGTTAAGTTGTCCTTGTTTGTGGTCTTTTACTTACATTAGCAGATAAAGTCTATGCCATGGCAAAAAGTTTGGTCCACTGTGAGCCTGTATCATTGCAAGTCCGTGTATATCTGCTATTGTATCGTAACGGCTTCTTCCCGCACCGCCACTCTGAAATACCATTAGGTTTTATTACAAAAAGATCATAGGGATTATCTGATAATAGATAATGCTTATCTACGGAAATTATTTTAAAAAAGAACATAGATTAAAATTCACGATTAAATAAGCAAACTTCCTGACTTCAACATTTGAGCATGAACTTGAACCATACGGATAGCCAAAAATGTTTCATTAAGGAAAGAAAAAATAGTATATGAAAAAGGCAAAAATTTAAATTATATTACAAATTATGCAAATACATTTAAACATGTGTCTAAAAATTAATTCATGTTTTTTTACTTAAAACAATTATGTGGTTGGCGTAGCAGATCGGCAATTTTCCCATTACAGTTACAGAAAAATATTATTCTATTCTCTTTTTTTCTTTCCTTTTTTTTCCCTTTTTTTTTCCTACATATTCATCATCTCAAAATAGTATTATATTTATTGTCAAACTGAATAAAATTAAAGTTTTAGCCTAAAAAGTTTGCGTTATTTTTACAAGTTTAAAATTTGCGTTACTGAAACAACACGTCGAAATAATTTGGGAATTAGTCATAGTTTATGTTACTGAACATACTTTTTGCCAATTGAAATTATAAAATATGATTTTCAAATAATAATGTCTACAGTTCTGATGGTGTTGTTTCATATTTTTAGTTCACAAAAAATATAATGTATATCCATCCCAAATTCTCTTTACTCCAATATAAAGATATATATATAATTAAAAAAAAATAATTATGGAATTCAATTTTTGGCAAAGTCGTATCTCTTTTGTTAGACATAACACCTTTCTTAGGATCAAACTACTTAAGCAGAAGTAAGGTTAAAGAGTGATAGCAAAATATTTACGAGACACAAAGAACGCACAAAAGTAAAAATAAAATGAAATTTTGGAAATGCGCCGATGAGACAGCATCCTAATGACACACATTCTGAAAACAATAAGATGTCAACATATGGTCTTCAACAATAGGAAGATGTGAATAATTTCACATAGTCTATCAAAGATCTGTTATTAACAACACATTTTACCAATGAAAGCAAACATTGAGATATGATCAAATACAACCACTGAAGATGTTCCTTAACATGGACAAAGATGTAGCGAGGTCTAAACTACGTTAGATTTTAGATCTCATCCCTCCCTCTTTCTTGATCAATGTACTATCAAAAGGTTTATAAAAGAGCATACTATAATATTCAGCACTGGAAAATAATATCGCACAAACCTCCATTTAAAGATACCTACAAAACGGCTTCTGTTTAAAACTCATAGACAAAATGAAGTATCATGCTATTTTATTTATTTATTTCTAATTATTGTAATGTATTTACCATGTCGAACTTAAGTCTCCTGACTCCAGCGACGTATCTCTCCCAATGACGATGTGGGGCACTTCGGACTTCTCTTCTGTATCGAACTAGATATTTGCCATGTCTTTTGTACCTGTTTGAATGTTGCTTATTTTCGGTGTAAGCCCAAGTTTCTGCTGTTAACTGCCGAAATAGAGAAGATATATAAAGTTTTTCTTCTGTAGTAAAGTTACTGGTCATATGATGAGTTGGTTTCATTTTGAGCAGTCGTTCTTCACAATCATTTTGCAAATCTTTTAACGCAATACTACTATCCTTACCACCCAATCCATAAAAATCGGAACAGTCTTGTATACTTGTTGGCATATGTTTTCCAAAGATGGAGACAATTAACAGTTGTAATGAAATAAACACAAATAGCTTATTGGATACAATTATACCTGTAAATAGTTTTTCTGGTCCCATTATGCCTAAAATGAAATAAAAATATTTTCGTTACCACAGAACAGAACTTCACGTGTATGTTCTGAAGAACTCTGACTATAAAATTTTGTATAAAAAAAACATGGATATATATTAGTTTGGTTTTCTTATGATTCTTCAAGATTATGACATATTTTTTTTAATTTTACACCGAGTTTTAATAGAATTTTTTAGTTGTTCCGTTGATCAAGAATCCCGTTTTGAGCACAGAAATTAAACCATATGTTTTAACATGGTTCCTCGTGCCTTTGTGTTAGAATGTAACATTTTAATTACAACGTTGTTATTTTCTAACAAAATTAAGAAAACGATGTTAGTGAACACAAAACGTCTTAAAAATGACGCTGGTTCAGGATTTTTTTTTCCTTGAAATAATTTAGTTATTGTTTTTAAAAACTCACCAATAATTTTCTCTCTAGTTAATTGCTTAGATGAATGAAACTTTCTTTTTTTAGTTCTTTGTTTTATTAAAACACGTGGATTACCCAATGCGATAATTTACATGTTCGGTCAAAGGTTAGTCTTTCATATCACAATTTTTCTTATATCAAAATATGTAAATAAAAATTCTATATCACATGAAAGCGTAAAAACAAGATGTGTTTTGTTTGAATTCGTGTTGAAGAATGTAAACCTTACAATATTACATACAAAGGGAAATGTAATCGGTGCTTGACATCTCAAAGGATTAGGTCAAACTCTGCTTATTACAATAAAATATCAACTGTTTATACACTTTTATTACTATTTTCCTATTAAGGAATTATTCACCAATATTACAATATATATATTCTTGTAACATCGTGACTAAAAAACGTAGCTACATCAGTAAAGATATTTAATCGGTACCTTCCTAGAGCATCCACGGCACCAAAAATTGTATCATTCACAAAAATCACTTGTCGGCTGAAATTTAAAAATGCTTTGATGACAACATGAACATTGAATTTTATAAATGAAAATTTAGGAATTCATAGCGATATAATACTTCTTTATAAAAATCTTGTTGCAACCTTTTTTTAAACCTGGATAGTAAGACGAATTTAAGCTTCTTGAGGGTATTTGATAAATTGTGAACTGTTTAAGTAGCACGTCAAGAAAAACATCTGAATATATAACAAATCTCAATTCCTGCGCTTGCCGATAACACTTGTTGATAATGAAATGAACACATGTTTTGCTTGAGTCTTGTTTTGCTTGAGTCTTTTCCGGATTTGGCTATACTTGAGATGTTGTTTTTTTTCCCAGCTTTCAACGTTTGTATTATAGGTTTTGGATTTTTTTATATTTTTGTCCGAGCATCACTGGAGAGACATTTTTTGTCGAAATGCTCATCCTTTGCAGTAAAATTGACACCTTTATCGTTATTAAATCTGTTTTTGTATGGCTAAATATAATAGTTTCGTTCAGTGTGATGTAAATGAAATTCAAAATGATAAATTATTTGAACGGCTGGTGAAATTATTTCTTTTTTTCCAACTATAAGTTAAGTTCGGTATTATCATCTTCACAAAGACAGTATGTCCATTTCTGGTTAAACAAAGAGTCCTACGTTTAAACAATTACTTTAAATTTGTTACTGTTAGACAATTAGTAAAGATGCCTTCACAAGATATGTATTATAGAATACAAGTATGTAAGTAACAAATGCAATAAATAATAATATTTAAGATTTAAATCCCGATTCAATTCCTACATTTGATGTCGGATTGTCAGATAAAAGTTTTTTTAAATCAGTTATTCTATTGTAAACGTTCAATTCTTTTAAAAAAAAATTAATCAATTTTATTTCAAAGTAAAATAATTTTGCATTAAAATATGTTAGAGTGTATGATATGTGTTCAAGTTGTGAGCAGTAAACCACTGCAACGGTACGGAACATAAGACATTATATATTTATTTCCCTGTATACTACTGTTCTACAGAAGCATCATATAAATACATTCCTACAGAGGGAAATCTTATGTTAAAAAATTACCCCCTCCGCAAACACTGAGATCTTGATCTTTTAAATGTTTGTCCCGTTTTAGAAAAGACGCAATGAATTCACAAATAAAAGTACTGGTAAACAGTAACAATAAAACTAAGTTGAAATCAAAACACAACATCCATATAATCTTATTATTTCCCTAAAGCTGGCTATATGAGCTTTGTGTACAATTATCTTAAAATGTTGCTATGCAAATAAATTCCTTGAGTACCAACTTCAGTTTATTTTTCTACTGGCTGTACACATCTCTGCAAAATGCCAATTATCATTAGATTTATGCAGCTAGACTAGAGATGTTGATGAAATTACAACAACGAAACTGATTGGTATGCAGCAAAACTCAAAACTAATAAAACTAAGTTACTTAGCAAATCCAGACGAGCCTTATCCGGTCCCAATGTAAACATTGTCTGTGAATACATCGAGAAGAGCGCACAAACAAATACAAAAATCGAGACGACCTATTTTTTTAAAATTGTAAAAAAAAAAAGTAAAAATCGTTTAACGGATTAACTACTTTCTTTGTTGATATATTTGTCTTTATTTTTGTTTACCTGCACAGACACAACTTTTAAATCATTATTATCACGAAAAGACAATATTCCTCCATTGAAACTTCAAGTGACAATGAGTAGACCGGTGCACTTCGAAGCATATTTGTGGAAAATATGTATATTTTGGGAAATTGTAAAATGCTCAGGACTGTGTGGAACACTCCGAAAATCCATCACTTGAAAGATCTTCAGATTTTGTAAATTTGTATGTACATGATTCTTTTTCCAATTTTTTATCAATACGCAGCAAAGATTAACAGTTTTTTTAATTTCAGTGTTACAATCTTTTAATTTAATTATCATCGGTTTTCCCACTACCTACGTGTGTCTTTGTATAAAAGCACCCTTGTTATACTTAGGAAAATAATTTATATACATTATGTTCCTAAGTAAATATCATGGTTAAATGATTAAATATATTTTAAAAATCGTAAAGGGTTCCGGGGAACCATGTGTCTCGCCTGCTATTGCTACCGTCAGTATATAAGTGAAATGATGACTGCCAAAAACTAGTTTTTTATGAGTAAAATACAGACAAGTAAACAAAACTCTTTTTTATTCAGACGCATTTTCTTTTTCACAAGGAAGCTTATGTTTAAGTTTTGAAACATTTTATGTCGATTTCATAAAGATTTTGATGTTTGAAAAATTAACCACAGGCTGAATATATATATAACTGCAAAAATGTCCATCAATCAGTAATTCTGAAGAAAAAAAATTCTCTTTAAATGTTATCTCTGTATCATAAGAAAGGTTCTGTCCAAATTTCATAAAATTTTAAGGAGGTTTGACATAGTTATAAATATCATTAAAATTTTTACCAAAGACTGTATGTAAATACTGAATGTAAATTGTAAAATAACGTATGTCACTTTATCCGATAAATACAGGGGAAACACTTTTAAAATGCAAATTTTGTTCTGGACAATTATTTTTATACCCAGAAGCCTCTGTTTAAGTTTCATTACAGTTATTAATGTGAAGATAAGTTTAATCCAAGACTGCTCGTGAACATTAACTGCTACAAAACTAAGTTCATTTAATAAGGGAATACAAAGAAATAGATTTTCACAAATACCAACTGTTTTTTTAATTATTAATTAAGACAATAGTAGATAACCGGTTTTCAAATCCCATAAATGAGTGTAGGAGATACAAATCGAGGTAACATACAAAAACATGAACTCTTAAATGAGAGAGACCGAGTGCATCAACAGGGTAAACGTCTCCTGCCATTCATGAATCACCCGCCATGCAAATCCACATGCACACTCAGTCAAAATGTAAACATCGGTAATAGGACACAATCGCCAAATTACGGATTAGACTTCTATTCTGGTATCTAAAATCTAAGACCGCGGAAACATGTAGTATTGGTCAACCTAATCGTGATATTGACCGTAAAACTTATTTCGATTTATGTCGATTTCAGTCGTTTTTACATAACTCTGTTAGACCAATGTAAGGAGCACAACCCTGTTAATGAAGTCCGTATAGTGTAAACATTTATGAGGTAACATAGTAATTGATATATGTAAACACTAAACGATGGGGCCGAGAGTATATTACTGCTAATAAATGGGAAGTTGACAATTGGAAAGTCGGAATAACCATTCTTGTGATAGATTCTACTTTTGAGTCGTCCATCTTTGTCAATATCGAGGAAAAGATCAAGATATGAAGCAGACCTTCTAGTTTCGATAGTATTCTGAATCTCAAGGTCACTGTGATAAATTAGATGCAGGCATACACTGAAATGTTTGTTATTGAGGGATAGAATAGCATAAACACATCTGAAACAGAAATTTAAAAAATAGCAAGATGCCTTTTTTGTCTTTGAGAAGGTTCTGTGTGAATTTTGCCTCATATCAGTACAAAAACAAGTAAACAAGCAGGTGTGCACAATTATTTCCCATTGGAGTAGCGACTGTCTTAAAATACCAATCCATCAAACCGAACATATTTATTGCCGATAAAAAGTCCAACGTTTTGATATCATCTTCGGTATTTTTGCTGTTGCAATCATTGTAGTTATTCAGAAAGTAAGATTTGTCATGACCTAAACCAAGGAATTTGTATCTATGATACCATATTTTGATGACGAATTTCTGTCTAATGAGACGATGTAGTCGATCTTTCTATTGATCGGTATAAGTAAAATACAGAAAATAAAAAAAAGCTATTTTCGTAATCTGCTCTAGATACTGCGGATTGGTCATAAAGAACTTTCTGTTTCAAATGGAGGCGAAAATTTCTATGGACATTCAAATCTTATGTTAAAAGACAACGACAACTCTATGGCAAAAAACGAAAGAAGACAAATATGTTCACAAAACACTAAATACAAAACTAAAGCAACAAGAACCCCTCTAAAGCTGGGGTGACCTCAAGTACTCCGAAAAGGTGCGCAAATTCTAGGGCATTATTGGAATTGGTTTCGTTAGTTTCGTAGTATTCCATGAAGGCTTGACAAAGTAATTGATACATAAAATACTTAAACCAGAAATAAGACCTCAATGCAAATACACCGACGACGACGACGGAATGTAGTATTGATTATATCTCGCTTCAGCGAATTTTGTCGAAGGTTCGACAAAAGAAAAGAAATGAATTTGATATCTATGGGAAAAAATCATGTAAGATACCAAGCATATAATTTGGTATGCCATAAAACTCGTCAGTGGCGCTCGAATCGAACAGTTGAAGTTGAAGAGATTGGAAAACCAATATTTCCATAATGTTGTGCCAAATACGACTAAGGCTATCCAACTATCTATCCAACATGGAATTTAAAAAGGTTTATACATCTATTGTGATGCATTTACATTTTATAGTCAAAGAACAAATGGCCACTTCATTAATATAAAAAGATTGGTTGTTTTTGTTATAAAATGTACCAAACATTTACTATTGGTAAATTGTCAAATTAATTACCATAATGTGTCTGAAAATTGCCTTATTGTTATTCATTAGTTGTAAATGCATGCTATTACTCAAATAAGAGTATATTTAAATTAGTTTTCCTGGTTTGAAGGTTTAAATTTAATGCAGTACTGACATGAAAAATTGGTTAAAACAAAAGGAATATTAATTACCATCTACGTGTGTGCTTGTAGGAGCTATGGTGTAGGTCGACATCATGTTTTCTACTTCATATTGTCGTTTTTGGTTAGAAATCAATTAAGAACATACAAAATAGTAGTTCGACAGAGCAATTGAAAATTTGAAAAGTCTTTTTCTTTCTTTCTTTCTTTCTTTTTCCCTTTTTTTTTTGTTAGTCTGTCAAACAGTCATAGAAATGAAGCATAATATTGCAGTGTAGGATATGCATTCATCAATCAGAAAACAATGGAAGGAGAAACAGGACGAATTGACAAACAGCAGTCCACAAAATGCT